CCAGTAAAAAAAAAACCCCTGTGCAGTCTGAGGTTATACCGCATCCCCTCCAATTTCTGGTTGTGTCCTCGTATCTTCCTCAGAGTTCTTGCTTTAAAAATAGTTTATTCCCTATACTGCAGATCCCCATTGCTGAGCTTGTAGATTGTCATCATGTCTCCTCTTAAGCGTCTCTTCTCTAAGGAGAACAAGTCCAATTCTTGTAGTCTGTCTTCATAACTCAGACCCCCATATCCCCCTTTTTAATTTAGTTACTCTTCTATAAATTTTCCCCAGCTCATAGACATCCCTCCTAAGGACCGGTGACCAAAACTGACCGGTGTACTCCGCTCCAAGCTGGCTCCCGGGACGGACTACAATCTCAATACAAATGAGTAAACTAAACATGAGATTGTAGTCCATCCTGGGAGCGAGCTTGGAGCGGTGACTACTTTACAGCACACACGGGGACCATGGGGAACAGACGTAGCCCCCCCTCCAGAAGGAAGGACAGTGTCAGAGATGATTGGAGAATCTACAGCCGAGTGATACACAAATAAGAGACATTGTTGTTCAGAGTTCAGGGACTTGAATGTATTTTTAAGATTTAACTCCGGAGTTTAGTGTCACTTTAAAGGAACTTTGTTTCGGTTTTTTACATATGTTCTTTCTTTCTTTATAATGGTCAGGAAACAATATAAGAACATTTCAGGTCTATCAATTTAAATGTTGCATATGAAGACATTGGAGGGAATTTATCCAAACTGGAGCAGACAAAATCTGGAGCCATTACCCATGGCAACCAATCAGCTTCTCTCTTTTCATTTTCAAAGTTAAACTAAACAAACTGAAAAAAAGAGAAGCTGATTGGTTGCCATGCACAGTTGCTCCAGATTTTGTCAGCTCCAGTTTTGATACGTTCCCTCCCCTCCCCCACCCCCCGATGTGTTCTCCTTTTAATCCAGCAGGTGGTGCTCTAGTATTTTTTATGGCATGGTTATTAGCATTCTTTTTGGTTATTGCTCTTGATATTTCCCCGTGCACCTTACCCCAACTTTTCTCTTGAGATTGTTAACACAACTATCCCCCCTCCCCCCATGCCAAGGTCCTTGGTGTCATCCTTGACTCGGACCTCACCTTTCTTCCCCACATCCAATCACTATCCAAATTCTGCCGCCTTCACCTTTTGTAACATCTCCAAAATAACCCCCAGTCCTCACCAATGACACCGCAAAACTACTCATCCACTCACTTGTTATCTCTCGTCTTGACTACTGCAACTCCCTCCTCATTGGCCGACCTCTACACAGGCTCCTCCCCCGTTCAGTCTATCATGAATGCAGCTGCCAGACTCATTCACCTTACCAACCGCTCAGTGTCTGCAACCCCCCTCTGCCAATCCCTCCGCTGGCTTCCATCCCCCGCCCCCCTCTGCCAATCCCAGCACTGGCTTCCTATAGCCCAAAGGAAAAATTCAAAATATTAACAACCGCGTACAAAGCCATCCACAACTCCGCCCCCGGCTATATCTCCAACCTGGTCTCAAAGTATCACCCTAACCGTCCCCTCCCCTCTTCACAAGACCTCCTGCTTTCCAGCTCCGTCATCAACTCCTCCCATGCTCGCCTTCAGGACTTCACTAGAGTGTCTCCCATCCTATGGAACTCTTTACCCCAAACTGTCCGTCTATCTCCCACTCTGACTGCCGTTAGGCGATCACTAAAGACTCATCTCTTCAGGGAAGCCGATCCCACCTCAACCTGACCGCTCAACCATCACATTCTCAAACAATCATCCCCACACAGCTACCTCCTCATGTATCACTGGCCCCTCTCTTTTAGATTGTAAGCCCTCAGGGGCAGGGCCCTCCTTACCATCTTGTCTTAAATTGTATTGTGATTGTAATGTCTTCCCGCTGTGCAAACTGTTGGCGCTATATAAATCCTGTAAAATAATAATAATAACTACACTGAGTGGCCAGATTATTATGACCCCCCCCCTCCCCCCCATCAGTACTTGGTTGGGCCGCCTAAAAAAACCACTCGGTGTATATAATAATCCGGCCACTCGGTGTATATAATAATCCGGCCACTCGGTGTATATAATAATCCGGCCACTCGGTGTATATAATAATCCGGCCACTCGGTGTATCTAATAATCCGGCCACTCAGTGTATGTGCCCCATGTTACTAAGGGGGTTATTCACAAAGCTGCGGAAGGCAGCTGAGTGAATAAAAAAGTGGAAGTAAGGTGAGTTCGTCTATTCACTCTGGCTCAGTACGGCTGATATCAGTCCTACTTTCGGCTGCACTTCAGACAGATGCAGAGCATGTTTGGCTGAAGGACTCCGGCAGCTCACTTGCTGCTGTTCGCCCCTATTCACATATCAAGGGGTACCGAGCAGAATAGAAAATCAATGAAAATATCTCAAAAAAGTTGAAAAAATAAAAAAAAATTTAAATAAATAGTTACATTTTAAAATAAATAAAAGATTTTTTTAAAAATTATAAAAAAAGCAATTGGGCAGAGCTAGCTTC